AAGGTGTTCCTGCAGGCACCAGGTGTTCCTGCTGGGGGACAGGGACAGGGACAGGGATGGGATGGGATGGGATGGGATGGGATGGGATGGGATGGGATGGGATGGAGCGGGAAAGGAAGCAGGGCCAGCCAAATCCTGGCTGCTGGGGTGGGATGCAGGAAATGGCCATCTGGGACCTTGCAGGAAGGGAGGTGCAGGCAGCACACTGGCTTGAAAAGAATGAGAGTTGCCTCCTGGGGTGCCCTGGGCATAGCCATACAGCCCAAAGCTGGCACTCACAGGCTGGAGCTTGCTAACACCCTGCTTGGGATAAAGTCTCCCTGGCCCCCCTCCTCCCCCTGCTCCGGGGCAGCAGCTGAGACAAGAACCCCACTGCAGGAGAGCCTTCCTGGGCCAATCCTGCCTCCCAGGTGGTACCTTCCAGCACTGGCATTTTACATACTACCCCAGATCCGGGTGATTCCTTGATGCAGGAGGGATTCCTTAATCAGTGTCCTTTGATACCTTGCTCCAGGCAGTTTTGCAACATCCCCTCTGCACATCCCCAAGCAACTCCTAGGGCGCATTTGCCTCTGCTGGTGCATGCAGAGCACACAGCAGTGTTGTGCAGCTGCCCTGGGAGGGCAGCCCTGGTGCAAAGGAGAGTTGGCAGCTCCTGGTGCTGCTGAGCATCACTGAGTACTGTGGAGGTGGGGGGACCTCGTGGGGCACCAGGCGTGGAGGACAGAGATCCCACAGCCTCTCTGGGCTCCTCTGATATTTTACCACACGCACAGGGGAAAAAAAAGTTTCTTAGTATCTCGGTGGAATTTCCCCGAGATAACTTGCATCAGGTGCCTGTCCTGGTTTTGCTGTACACCTTTCCAAAGAACCGGGATCCCTTTTCCTGTAATTCCGCATCTAAATAGCTGCAGGCAGCTGGTAGTTCACCCCAGAGCCTCCCCTTTTCCAGGCCCAACAGGTCAGTGGTGTTAAACCACAGTTCCTCCCACTGCCCCACATCAACAATGGGAAAACCCCTGGCTGAGATGCTCTGCGTTACTGAAGACCCCAGTTGAGGATGGGAGGGGGGGCTGTTCTTGGGCTCCATTCCTCTTGGAGAGGAGGGTGCCTCAGCCTTGGTAGAAGGGGTGTGGGGTCCATCTGTGCCTCCAACCCCTGAACAAGGGCTCCCCCAGAGGCAGTGGGGAGCAGAAGTAGAGATGGCAGCTCTGAGTCCTCGCTGGTCCCCGCTGTGTCTCTGCAGGGAACCCCGGGGCAACCCCATGCAGGCAGTCACAACACACCCAGGCAGGTCCCCCAGGGCCTCCCTGCACCCCTGGGTGCTTCCACCCACGTGTTGCCTTCAGATGTTGACTCAGCACCGGCAGCCCTGGACCGGGGCCTCCATCGGAAAACCTGTGATGCCACCCATGTCCCAGGGAGCCCTGGTGGAAACAGGCAGCTTCCCCCAAGGGCAGCAGCATCCCTGCCTGTTCCTGGGCAATGTTTGCTGACAGGTGGTGGGTTTGCACGTGCTTCACTTACAAAAGCTGGAAACCTGAGAAAAAAACCAGACAGATATGGGTCGTTTCCTGTCTCTCTGCAGGCGGGTTTGATCAGCTTTTTTGCAGAAAAACACAGGGTGCCAATTCCTCCACGGGACCCTGGGGTGAAAGGGGATGTGCTGGGCAAAACAGGGCTGTTTGCCAGGGGTGCCCATGCAAAATCCTCAGCATATTCAGGAACACAGTGAGCATCAGTGGCAAGAGCCCTGAGCTGCAGGGGTGGGAAAGGGAGGCACAGAGCAAGGGATAGTCATGCAGTCACCCTGTGTGTGGTATGAGCAGGGGAAGGGCAGCAGGATCTGCTTTTGAGGGGCTCTTGCAACGCTGCTGCTTCAGACTCGTGGGAGCTGTATGTTTGCAGCCATCCCTGTCAGCTCCCACGCCCGTGGGGAGGGAGAAATGCCAAGCATCCTTCCGTGACCTGTTTCGAGTGACACAGAGGCGTGTCCCCGTCACGGCCATTAGAGAGCAGCACCGCTCTGGCACCTTGCCCGGTCACTACCGCACACCCAGCACAGCCAGAGCCCCCAGGACAGGGTGCCCAGGCACTGAGGGGCAAGGATGGCCGTCCCCAGTGGGACAGTCCTGGACTGGCCACTATAGGCAGCTGCAGGGGGCTGACCTCTCAGGGCTGTTTGAGGGGCACTAGGGCACAGGGGTGGGCTGGAGCACTGTCAAGGTGTGGTCAACGATCACCTACCCATGGACAGCCTGGCCAGGGAGATCCCCTGCATCTTCCATTGTCCCCTGTGTCCCCACCACCCCACCTGGGGTGGGCTGCGACCCCCTCCTCCCTGATCCCTGGCACAGAGTGAAGGGGGTGTCTTTGAGGGTGTCTGCCTGTATCCAAGTTTGTCGTAA